AGTATTATTGAAAAGTATAGCATAAACAATATATGTTTATAAAAATGTAATAAATATATTACTGTTTAATTAAATTCAATATCAGGATAAAAAGTATATGAGATTCTTATACCTTTTGTATACCTATATCCTACTATGATGTAAATTGAATATTGGGATAATAAAGGTAGAAAAACAATATATAATTCTTTTACCTTTTATCTACCTTTATTCTTCTAGGATGTTATTAGCATATAAGATGAATATCGAGATAGTAAAAAAGAAAAAAAAAAGTATGTGATTCTTATATCTTTGTATACCTATATCCTACTATGATGTAAATTGAATATCGGGATGATAAAGATAGAAAAACAACATATATAATTCTTTTACCTTTTGTTTACCTATATTCTTCTAGGATGTTATTAGTATACAATATGAATATCAGGATAGTAAAAAAAGAAAAAAAAGTATATAATTCTTATACCTTTTGCATACCTATATCCTTCTAGAATATAAATTGAATATTAGGATGATAAAGGTAAAAAAACAACATATATAATTCTTTTACCTTTTGTCTACCTATATCCTTCTAGGATATTATTAGCATGTAAGATGAATATCAAGATAGTAAAAAAAGGAAAAAAAAGTATGTGATTCTTATACCTTTTGTATATTTATATCCTACTATGATGTAAATTGAATATCAGAATAATAAAGGTAGAAAAACAATATATATAATTCTTTTACCTTTTGTCTACCTATATTCTTCTAGGATATAATTAGCATGCAATATAAATATTAGGATAGTAAAAAAAGAAAAAAAAAGTATGTGATTCTTATATCTTTTGCATACTTATATCCTTCTAGAATGTAAATTGAATATTAGGATGATAAAAGTAGAAAAACAACATATATAATTCTTTTACTTTTTGTCTACCTTTATCCTTCTAGAATGTTATTAGCATGTAAGATGAATATCAGGATAGTAAAAAAAGAAAAAAAAAGTATGTGATTATTACCTTTTGTATACCTATATCCTACTATGATGTAAATTGAATATCAGAATGATAAAGATAGAAAAATAATATATATAATTCTTTTATCTTTTGTCTATCTATATTCTTCAAGGATGTAATTAGCATGCAATATAAATATCAGAATAGTAAAAAAAGAAAAAAAAAGTATGTGATTCTTATATCTTTTGCATATCTATATCCTTCTATGATGTAAATTGAATATCAGGATGATAAAGATAGAAAAACAACATATATAATTCTTTTACCTTTTGTTTACTTATATTCTTCTAGGATATTATTAGCATGCAATATGAATATCGGGATAGTAAAAAAAAAAAAAAGTATGTGATTCTTATACCTTTTGTATACCTATATCCTTCTATGATGTAAATTGAATATCAGGATGATAAAGGTAAAAAAACAACATATATAATTCTTTTATCTTTTGTCTACCTTTATCTTTCTAGGATATTATTAGTATATAAGATAAATATTAAGATAGTAAAAAAAGAAAAAAAAGTATGTAATTCTTATACCTTTTGTATACCTATATCCTACTATGATATAAATTGAATATCGGGATGATAAAGGTAAAAAAACAACATATATAATTCTTTTACCTTTTGTTTACCTATATTCTTCTAGGATGTAATTAGCATGCAATATGAATATCAGGATAATAATAAAAAAAAAAAAAAGTATGTGATTCTTATACCTTTTGCATACCTATATCCTTCTAGGATATAAATTAAATATTAGGATAATAAAGGTAGAAAAACAACATATATAATTCTTTTACATTTTGTCTACCTTTATCCTTCTAGGATATTATTAGCATGTAAGATAAATATCAAGATAGTAAAAAAAGAAAAAAAATATGTGATTCTTATACCTTTTGTATATCTATATTCTACTATAATGGGATGATAAAGGTAGAAAACAACATATATAATTCTTTTACCTTTTGTCTACCTATATTCTTCAAGGATGTAATTAGTATGCAATATGAATATCGAGATAGTAAAAAAAGAAAAAAAAAGTATGTGATTCTTATATCTTTTGCATACCTATATCTTTCTATAATGTAAATTGAATATTAGGATGATAAAGGTAGGAAAACAATATATATAATTCTTTTACCTTTTGTCTATCTATATTCTTCTAAGATATTATTAGCATGCAATATGAATATCGGGATAGTAAAAAAAGAAAAAAAAGTATGTGATTCTTATACTTTTGTATACCTACTATATATCCTTCTATGATGTAAATTGAATATCAGGATGATAAAGGTAGAAAAACAACATATAATTCTTTTACCTTTTGTCTACCTATATTCTTTTAGAATGTTATTAGCATGCAAGATAAATATCAGGATGATAAAGATAGAAAAACAACATATATAATTCTTATACCTTTTGCATACCTATATTCTTCTATGATGCTATAAACATATAAGTTAAATATCGGGATAATAAAAGAAGAAAAAATGTATATTTTTTTATACCTTTTTGTATACCTGTATCTTACTATTATGTTACTAACATGTAAGATGAATATCGGGATAGTATTAGGAAACAAAAGGTATACCATTATGTATCCAAAATCTATCTTTTATCTTACCCTAATACTGATATCCATTAGTTTATCATTATTCTTTTCCGATATGCATATCAGATAAATAACAGGTCAATAAAGATATATTTCGTTATTTAACCTTTATTCATATATTCAACCTGTGTCTGCTAGCAGGGGATCATAAAAGATATGCCAAACCAGAGAAGATATTACTTCTCCTTGATCTATCCCATCACCAGCTATGAAGTGCTCTGTTGTGCCTATGCTTGTTATAATCTCCATTTCGTAGTTCTCATATAGGTTACTTATAAAGTGTATTATAGTGCTTGGAATCTTAATTCTTTGCAGAGCTAGCTTAAGCATTTTGATTCCTACAGAATCGTATGCCTTTCACATATCTTGAAACATCAACCATATCTCTTTTTTCTTTTTCTTTGCTTCTTTAAGCAGACAGTTTAGAAGATGCACAGGTGCTGCAGTACTCTCTCCTGGCAGGCCAGCAAAATTTCTACCTTTTAGAATATTTCTTTCACCTATTACTTTTGCTAGCCTGTTCATTACTATTCTTACGACTGTTTTTCTAAAAGATTCTAGGAGTAGGATTGAACGCACATTGTTCAGGTTGTAACACTATTCTTCTGTTTTGGGTATCAGATACAGAATTCTAAGCTTCTATTTCTTTGGCATCAACCCACTTTTAATACACCCTGTAGCTAATTTACGAAACACCGAGCTTGCATAACTTCCAGCTTCTCTAATTAAGGGGTAGGTAATCCCAGATATGCCTGGAGCTGACTTGGCTTTGGCTTGTATTAGAGCAGCATCCTATTTTGCTATGCTGACCTCGTTTGTAAGATCTATAAACCAGGCCTCCTCTATATCCTCTCTTGGGTATATTGCTTCTTCCACCTTGGAGGTAGCTCATTTGGATTCACTGTGTTTCTTTTGTGGAATTGGTTTGTGAAGTGATTTCTGACTTCTTCCAATATCTCAGCAGGCTCGTAAACTAGTTCGGCTTCACTTTCATTATCTCTGACTACCCTATCTATTTTAATCTTTTTACTCGGTCAGTCTAGCAAGCTATTCAACATTCTTCTTTAATCAGACACAATGCGATCATGTCTTTCCTCTATACAATTTCTTATTGCCATTTCTTCAGCTTTTCTAATTCTTAGACGCCATTCTTTGTGAAGAACTTTGGCCAAACCTTTTAAGTTCTCTATACTTAGATTGTCTGTTTCGATTGCCAACTATGTACCTAAAAACGATTTTACTTGAACTAAATAGCTACTTAGTGTATTTTTCTCTTCTGAGTTTGTTAAACCTTTTTTAAGTTTGCAAAGCATCTGGAGCAAACTTTAACTGCTAGTCTTAATGCGCATGTTTCTTTGTTTTCTATACTGATCTGCTTAATCTCGGCAGTTTCTTTTCTCCTTGAAAGACTTTTGTTTGTGGCTATTCTAATACACCTTTCTATAATGTACCATTCCTCGTCGAGGTTTTTCGGTTTGTATCTGCACCATTGGTCTTTAAGCTTCTTGTTTAGTACTTTTTGATACTCTTTCCATTCTTCTTTGGTTGCAGAGCTCACATCAATATTTACCCTCTTTCTGTAGTGACGCTTCTGTCTTGCCGGTTTTGCATTTCTTAACTCTAGGCCCGTAAGGATACTTGTTCATATGAGTTTATGATCACTTCTAGTGCAAATTGTCATATCATCCATCTTGCTATTAGCTATGCTATTTCTCCACTATTTCGAGACCCATATGTAGTTAATCTGGGTCTCTGTGGAGCTATTTGACTACGTTTGTGCTTGTGTAAGCTCTTGCACATCAAAGAACTGCTTCTCTTCCAGAGCTTTAAATATTTTTTGTTTGAGGCTCGTTTTGCAACTTGTGCTTGTGTTACTAGAGTCATTACTTAAAGAACCTTTTGTGCTTACATTTAGGTCTCCTAATATCACATATCGCTGTGGTTTTCTTCTATGTTGACTAATACTATATTTCAGTTTTTGTAAGATCGCCTCTTGCATCTCTTTGTTGTTTGGGGCTACGTATATGTATATAATATTAAATGTGATACCTCTAAAGTCTAATACTAAACTTAAATAATATGAGTTATCTTTGACTATTGATATAATATGTTATTCCTATGTTTTCCTGATTAGTATCCCAAGTCCAGATCCTTTTTTCTTATTTTCATCAGAGTCTGCCCATATGCTAATATATGTGTCATTGTCTTTTGTTGCAAAGAAGCCTTCTTTGCTGCTAATATTTGTTTCTCCTAAACCAAGAATATCAATTTTTTTTTCCTATGCATAATCTATAATTGCTTTTAACTTATTCTTGTTATTTTTTAATCTATTGATATTGTGAAACCCAATGTTCATTATATAAAATTGTTCATATTTGTCTTTTTCCCCAAATGTCCCCAATCTACCTTCGTTCTCCGGGGACACAACCTTGCCTTTACTCTCAACCCCCTCATTTGTTTCTAGGTGTTTCATTGTTGCACCTGGAGCGCCCTTAGAAGCGATCTGCAAGATTGTCTCTTGTAGATATTATATGAAATAAACTATCTTGGCCTTCTAGCTTGTCCAGTCTGCCTATAATTTGCAATAGCATGGATTGAACTGTGTCCTCATGCATTGGCTAGTTCTTCGAAGCCCCCTCATTGTAGTTTCTGTAGTTGGGTTTTGTGTTTTCCTTATTTTTGTTTCTTTTGTTCAATGACGTAGCAGGAGAATCTAATTTGTTAGTTGCTTTGATTTTGCTATCACCATACCGAGTATAAGAATTTTCTTTTCTCTTTGCTGTGCTTTCTCTTTCCTGTTTAAGTGCACGATTCCTGGATCTTCCTCTTTTGTTGAAGGTGGAACTGTTGGATTCTTCTTTTATACCATCTGTTGTACCCCATTCTAGTCTTGTATTATAGTAATATATTCTTTTTGCCAGTGCTGCTAATAGCTCTTCTTCTGATTTAAAAACCACAGATGCTGTGCTTCTTTGATTTTTGTTCCAGTTGTGCGAAATATATACTGCTTGCGCTCTGACTGGCTTTAACTGTTTTAGCAGCATAGCTTTGAGGGCTGTCTTTGGAATATTTTTTAAGATCACTTTAAATCTTCCTCTTTCATTTAGAATGGACCTGTCGAATACCCCTTCTGATAATCTTAGCATCTTACCCTCTTCAAAATGCACAGCCCAGACATTTGTAAACATAGCTTTTCTTCTCTCGTTCCAGAAAGTTATATTGAAGGAGATGGCTTTCTTTGTTCCTGCAAATTCCCAGTGTTTAAATTGGACTTGACCATAAAAATGCAGACATCTTCGCATTCTCATTGCTTTAACTTCTGCTAGTATGTTCCAAAGAGTATAACAGATTTTTAGAGCCTCTGTATCTTTGCCTCCATCTTTTAGAGTTTCTATAATGCCTATCTTCGAAGTATTGTTCTAGGTATCCTTATTAGTAGATTTAACAGGCAGTGATTCTGTACTGTGTACTTTGGGTGTATCAGATAATTTGACTATAAATTCTTCTTTTTTGCAGTTTTTCTTGATTTCCCTTTTCTTTTCTATTGGGCGCGCACTTTTTTTTCTTGTTTGGACATTAGTTTTGGACTGTTGCGACTTTAATTTCTCTTGTATACCATAATCTGACGTGCCGCATTCCTGGTCAACTAATATCTCCTTTCTTTTTTCGCTTTCATTTGAGCATTCTCCCCATTTTTGATTCTCAGATACTCTAACCAGTTATAAGTTTCAATTAAACACCTAAACAAGCATATTAGTTGTGGCTCGGCTCCTATGAAAGCCGCTATTTCATTGTCTTTTCTAAGATATTCTACTAGGTGCTCCTCTTTGAGCATGTTAAAATCATCTGTTGATTTTTTAAAAATGTTCTTATACTTGTTTATCTTGTGCCTCCAGTCATCTTTGTGACTTCTAGCTGCTTGGTATTCATTTTGTGCATGTGACTCATATTACCAAATATTGCTATAGCTATTCTATAGTAAAATTATAAAATTTAAACTTAGTATATGTCGTATGTGTTTTTACATGTTTTTGACGTGATTTCACGTGTAATCTTTTTGTAGAAGCTTCCGGGTTGCTGCATGTTGATGTTTGCAGTAATTGTGTTACACCAGGGATCGATGCTACAGAGTTAACACTATTTTTCCAAATGTACGAAAAATATCGAGTTTTGGCTTTATACTAAGATATTTGACTGCTTTGTTCCTTCGAACTGAAGATGTACTGTGATTTACAATTAGTTTAGCTTTCTTTCACTATACTGGTACAGTTTTGTTGCCTATACTGAGCTAACCTCCAGTTTGCCTGAGTTTTGTCACTGTGCACTTTCTTTAATCGAGAAATACTGTTTATCTTACTTGTTTAGACTGCTACCAAGTAATTGTTCTAGTACAGGCCTGTGTTCAAAGCCTTTTTCTATGTTCTATTAAGTTTGTTGATGTGTTTGTCACTTCTTTCTAGTATAGAGTTTACTTTTTGCCTTCTGCTAGTTTTGTGCCAAATGATCATCAGGAAGAGTTCAAATTAAAAAATGGTTGATGGTTTAAAACACTAGTTTATATATAAACATAAACTAATATATAGCTTTGTTTTTGTCTAAATTAGCCCAATCAGAAATAATATTAGAAGGTGATTTTTAAGACAAAGGTCCTATATTAAAAGTTCAATTTAGTCTAATTCAACTCTACATATCGAGTTTTAATCTAGACTCAGTCCCAAGTCAAACTTGAGACCAAGTTTTAGTAATTTTATAGTAGTTACAGTATCTTGTAATTTTATTAAATACAATTAGCAATGATTAATATAACCTGTCACAGATATTATTGCATGTGACTACTACTATAATATTACTAGAACTCAGTTTCAAGTCTGACTTAGAACTAAGCCTAGATTAAAACTTGATTTATGAAGTTGAATGCTAGAATGTTATATGTTAAAACTAAAACTTTAAATAAAAATTTTAAAACTATAATTTTGTCAATTTGTATAATTTATAAAAAAAAATTAAATGTAACATATTAATCAACTAATAATAAATTTTATAATTACACCAAATAATAAATTTTTTATTTTTTGAAAATAATATTATTATTACAAAATTTCAATACAATATCTTAAATTAATTCATTAAAATACACATTCTAAACTTTATGCATAACATGCAAGTACCAAAAAAAATCAAAATTTTAATTAAAAAAAACTAAAAAATAGAAAGGTTATATTATTTCATCAATAAGCTTAATTTACCAACAAGCCCATTCCTTAGGCAATATATTTTTCAACAATATCTTATTTCACAAAGTTTCTTTATAAACCATACTAATTTTAACTCTAATTCTAAAGTTAATCATAATAGAATTACTTCATTTGTGAAATAAGCTATTGGTGTCTATAAAACTATAAATTAATCATCTGTAAAGCTTGTTGGTAAAATAGTTCCTTGAAGTAATTGTTGATAAGTTAATCAAAACCAAAAAAATCTTCTAAATTAGAATTTAAATAACTCAAAATAAATTTTATTAAGTGTTGTTGGTCAAGATAATTGAAATACAACAGGTATAAATAAAATAAATTATAACTTTACCTTAATATTACAGTAAAACCTCCATAAGCACACTCTCTATTGTGTACATGATCTCTAAATGCACACTCAAGTTCTGGCCCAAATACATGCATGCACTTTTTCTTATTGATTCCAAGTGCATGTTGTTAAAGCTTGGTCCCAAAGGTGTGCACTTAAAGAGGTTTTACTGTAAAAGTATGCCAATATTTTTTCTAATAAAAAAAAATATATAGAGCAAATTCATGATTTATAAACAAAGATATAAATAAAATAATTATAATTTTACCTTAAATGTTTTTTTATTATAGTAAAACCTCTATAAGTGTGCTCTCTATTAGTGTATATGATCTCTAAATGCACGCTCAAGTTCTGGCCCAAATACATACATGTCTTCTATAAATGTGCACTTAAAGAGGTTTTACTGTAAAAGCATGCCAATATTTTTTCTAATAAAAAAAAAAATATAGAGCAAATTCACGATTTATAAACAAAGATATAAATAAAATAATTATAAATTTATCTTAAATATTTTTTTTATTATAGTAAAACCTCATAAGCACACCCTCAATTAGTGCACACAATCTCTAAATGCACACTCAAGTTCTAGCCCAAATACATACATGCTTTCTATAAATGTGCTTTTTTTATTAATCTCCAAGTGCATGTTGTTAAAGCTTGGTCCCAAAGGCATGCACTTAAAGAGGTTTTACTGTAAAAGCATGCAATATTTTTTTTACTAAAAAAAAAAGAAACATAGAGTAAAATTCACAATTCATGAACAAAGGTATAAATAAAATAATTATAATTTTACCTTAAATATTTTTTATTACAGTAAAACCTCATAAGTGCACCCTCTATTAGTGCATATGATCTCTAAATGCACACTTAAGTTCTGGCCCAAATACATACATGCCTTCTATGATAAATGTGCATTTTCTTATTGATTTCCAAGTGCATGTTATTAAAGCTTGGTCCCAAAAGCATGCACTTAAAGAGGTTTTACTGTAAAAGCATGCAATATTTTTTCTACTAAAAAAAAAAGAAATGTAGATAAAATAATTATAATTTTACCTTAAATGTTTTTTTATTACAGTAAAACCTTATAAGCACACCCTCTATTAGTACACATGATCTCTAAATGCACACTTAAGTTCTGGCCCAAATACATACATGCCTTCTATAAATGTGCTTTTTCTTATTGATCTCCAAGTGCATGTTGTTAAAGCTTGGTCCCAAAGGCATGTGCTTAAAGAGGTTTTACTGTACAAGTGTGCAATATTTTTTCTATTGTATAACAGTACTAAAAAAAAAAAAGAAATATAATGAGTAAAATTCATAATTATATACTAAAAAACAGTTTTTCTTAATTTTCAACACAAAGTTACTAATGTACCAACTCTTCAAAGATGCATTTCCCTAAAAGTTCTCACTCATGCACAGCTAACAAGCTATTTTTCATGTCGAGATCCTGAAAACTCCAAAAGAATCATGGGAGAGAAGGCAAAACAATTGCCCATCTTCGAAGAGGTCGAACATTACCTGGTGATGTTGGTTTTTCATATTATTTATATGGTTCGATTCATTGAAGCCCTGGCAACTTATTTGTCTTAGGGAACATTATGTGTTAAGACTAGACTTAAGAAGAAAATTTTAAAAATGTGATTTCGTCAATTTGTGTAATTTATGAAAATCATATGATAAAAAATTAAGTGTGACATCTTGATTGACTGTTATAAATTAATAATGTTGTCAGAATTGAATCTGATATTGTAATTTTAAAAGCCCGAAGTCAGTTTTCTTTAGCATCGCATTTGCATAAATTTTATACTCATCATACTATACACAATATATTAATTTATACGCAGTAGTGACCTCATCAACCATACTCATGTGTTTACTGATTTAATGTATCATACACCACTACTTTACTAAACCATGTATTACTCTAAAACTTTCTATATACTTCTTTTTTGTTTATTCTTCATAGGTTTCTTTTATTAAAAAAGCACTTTAAACTGTATAAATAATGTAAAATT